TCGAAGTTTCACAAGCTTAATGAAACACATGTTTTTTGTATGATCTCGTAGATACCTGTGTCTCTCATACAGGAATGAATAAATTTCAAGTTCTACATATGAAGAATCGCGCTTTTTGCTGTACAACTTTTGAAATATACGTAGGCACAATGTATGCATTGGAATAAATTAACCAGCCGCTCCTGAAGCCACGACACACTCATCCATCTTGTTCTAAACACGCCTCGTGGGATCGTCGGTTCCTCGTTTGTGTGTATAGCCAGGTTAACGTCGGTCCGTTAACATTATGATTCCTGTTTGAATATTAGCCAAGTATCCCGCGGGAGTCACGCGATTCCCGGAGGAGCGCAACTGTCGGCAGACACGCGAGCGTTGCTTCAAACCGGCCTCCGGTTTCCGCAATATCGTCGATTTCTCTTCGAAAAATAGATTTTCACCGAGCCCACGCCTGTTAGGCGGTTTCCTTTGATTCGATCAAAGGCGATGGCGACATTCGGTAGACGTTTGAGGAAAATTAACAAGCGAAACCGTTTAAATCGACGTCTCTCGTTTTAGTCGGAATAAAAAGGTCGACCTCGCCGATTGGCAGACGGAATAGCTGAGGTTGCCGCTTTATTACTAGCAATTACATCGGTGCCCAGTCGATCGTCAGTCACCGTTAATTAAAATCTCGGTTCGATAACGGATACACGTGTAACCACCCACAGAAGTCCTACGTTCGATTCCGCGTCTTCCAGTTAAATCGCTAAGATTCTAATAAGTCAACAATTTCTTCCTGGTTGTCACCTTGGAAATTACCTTGGAAAATTATAACTCGCAAAGATCCCTTGAATTCAATCTAGAATCGACGAACGCGAAGGTACAGCTATATATACTGTCGTTCAAAAGTTTTAAGCCACTTTTCGGTGCTTCTATCAAAAAGTGTGATGGACATACCAAGGAGTCTCGTGTAGTGAATATTTCTATCTATTCTAAAATTGCAGTGAATTATTAAATAAACTACATAATCGTAATCAGATAAGGAATTATCTAATAAATGTTCATCTGTGCATTCATACTTTTAAAATGTCTCGCTCGGTTATACAATACGTCATCAGGCTTATGAACGGGGGTGTACCCTTTTCGTATCGTTTCGTAGCATTTAAGGAGATGAAGACATAAATTATCGGTGGGAAAAACGTGGCACAGCAATTACATGCGTCACGCATGTTACTATAATAATTGATATCGAATCCTTGATCGACGGATTCCCGTTAGCACGAAATAATTGAGACTGCGCTTTGAAAGGCAACGAGATCACTTGTCCTGCCGACGCAATGATCGAACTCAATGATTCTTCGGCTAGGTACTCGACACACCATGAGTTACCATGTTGGTCGTCCCAGAACTCGTTTAACCATAAATGAAAGCACGAGGCTCAACATTGGCACGATTCTTGGGATCACCTGCTCCGTCTCATCACCATCCCTCTCTTTCTCTCTCTCTCTCTCTCTCTCTCATTAGCCGATCTTTCGAAACCTAATCGGATTTATATGTACGTCGATCAGAATTCGTACCCAAAGATGGCAGACATCGTTACTAGCTCTTTTATTGGGCAACCTGTTCGAACATCCTTGGATCCTTTAAATTCTGAGTCGCTCCATTAAGTCTCGAGACAGATTTGAGCACGACAATGAAACATACAATTAGCTCATCGCTGAGCCGCGCAAGAAACAATTGCACGAGTTACCCTACTTTCGCTGGCACACGCGGCGGAAGTCATGAGGTCGCATAATCCGCGATTTCTTTTTAACAAACTGAAACGATATGATCAGTCTCGATGTGGATTAATAACAAAAGATAATCACAAGACGAATCATAAAAAACGCGAGAAGCAGAATTGACGTACACACTTTGTTCCGGTCTCGCAGTATAATCGGCGCCGGTTTACGACTTGTTCCAGCAAATGATAATAATTGACCTAATTGCGGCAAATGTACCGTTCGCTTAAATACGTCGTACGATTCGCGATTCGCTGCCGTTTGCGAAACAAGATTAATAGCGGGCTGTCTGAGGGAAACCAATGATCGATCGTCGCGTTTTATCACGGCGATTTCGCAAGCTAACAATAGGCCTGGATTTTTAACCGGGCGTCACCGGTCAAGTACGAAAATTACAAGTTGCCCGAGCCGAGTTAAAAACGATGAGCGTAAATTCGAACGACGCGATCTTCCTGGCTGTAACTCGCTCGAAACCGGCGATTTTAGATTTCAGACACGTAAATCGAACGCAACGCGATCGCAAGCGCGCGGCCGACCGCGGCTGCGTGAAAGTCATTCGCGGGTAACGCGAAACTGAGGTTCGATCGAAAAAATTGCGGGACAGGAAAAAAGAAAGAGTCGGGGCGAATAGGTTCCTGTTGCTTTCACTCGGGCTTCGCGATAGAGCGTAGCCGCGGCACACGCGACTGGTTTATCGCATCTTAATAACGCGAGACCTTGCCTCAACCATCGGTCAGACGTCTGCTACGCGAAATTTCAAGCTAGAGATACGGACGTGGCAAAATATTAGCTTTAATGTTTAAGAGGATCCTCGAAATCGCGCGTGACCGCTCGCAGAGATTTAACCAGTGAGTCAACAGGCGAATTTTTTTCACTGATTACCGTCCCGACGAGATAAAACGTTGCTTACGCAACGTGAGCACGTCGCGAGAACAGTAATGATCTCGGGCGAACACTATCGTTTGCATCGTAATAAATTGCCCTTACTCGGGCCAACGAATCGATTAAGTGTCCCGAGAGGCTGCTTATTATTCGGTGAGAGAAACGGCGGGTAAAAACCGCGAGAAATCGCGAGGCGATCGCGTTACGAGATTGCACGGCATCCGTCAACGCTATTTATATCGGTTACACCAACTTCCTCTCTAAGGGTAACGTTATCGTCCGACCGGCCAGCGTAAACAGCATTTCGGAGTCTTCTGCTACGAACCAGACATGGATTTATGCCTACCGTTTTCTTCACTTAAGTCGCGAATCCTTTGCTTCGCGATCGATAATTAACCAAGGATGATTAAACTGATTGAAACTTGAATTTACATGATACGATTTTACGAGCATTGCACGGTATTCAATTAGAAAATACGTTAGAGAAGGTACTATTTCTAAGAGTGGAGGCAACTCGAAGGGTTGAAATCGACGCTGGCGTGTCGGCCAGCTGGAATCAAACTCGACGCTCGATGGAGTCACGTTGCCATAGGCTGGTATAGATATAGGTATCGCGTTACCTCGGTGCACCGGCCTCGGTGTTAAGACACCTAATTGCACGTTATGTTCGACGCGCACGTACGCGCACAGCGAACCTCTTACCGAATGGTAATGCTCTCTCGGTGACCACCTTGGCCAGACAGGAAACTGGGTGAACCCGGCCCCCTCGTATTTGTGGCATGAAGATTAGACTGTACGCGCGTTTCCCTTGTCTCTCGACTCTCTCCCGGTTCTCTTCTTTTATGTTCGAGTTTCCACGGATATACATCGGGAACCAGAACGTTTAATTAAACAGTATTTGATTTGGAAAGTACGAATAGGTACAACTGACTGCGCGATGGAAGTAAAGAATGAAAATGCAAGAAGCAACCGGTTAATAAAACGGTGAAAGAATTCATGTAGCGTCGCGCACTTCCTCTTGCATCTGATCGCAAATAATTTTAAACAAAATGCAACACGAATGTATGCCTGCACAGGAAAACGTTGCGCTTCTACCGACCGTTCTGTGAAAAAGAGTGACACGCGAGGTTGCACAGTATAAATCTAGACGCGATCGATGTCCTCTTGGTAACCACCACCGAGGATATAGTCTTGGACGGAACTTGAGGCCTAATTCGAAAAAATTGCGGATGACCAAAGGTGCATTCAATAATATAGGAAAATCGTAAGCGACTGGCTGTTCCAATTTAATCGATACTAATGTTCGCTGAAAAAAAAAAAACATTTTCCCAAGGACGAGCCGCATTGCGGAAAGAGAACAGAAGTGTATCATGATAGAGCACGTTAAATCAATCACGCCACGACCCTTATTTTTTATTCTGATAACGAGCTTACGTATGATAACGGACAGTTTCTAAAGAATGTTTTTCTTTCTTCTTGTTTCTAATGCGTATTATGGACACATCTACGGTATTTAATGCGTGTCAGAGGTATGGTTGAACATACGTAAAGAGACATCGAGAAATGATCGTCGGCTTCTATGAGAAGTAACGACCCCATTCAAGGGCGGCGTGTGTACATAAGTACTGTGTTACGCGGGCCAAGGTCGACCCGATTACGTGTATACTTGTACACATGTCAAATGATGCTTTTTACGTGATCATCGCCGACTCGGTTTACTCCGACCGGCGATAACCTCGTAAATCGAGACGCATTTGGAGCGAATCGCGTTGCTCCTTTTCGCGTTTTACTTTTCACAAAGTCATGCGTGTCACAAAGTATGTAACCACCTACCTATCGTGTTACGTCTCTCGCGTCTGGTCGATTTTCGTTTTTTCTCAAGAGATTTTATCACGGTTTAAATCCGTTTTTATCAGCATATGGTTGAAGTCAATCAGATGTAAATAAATGTAGGCCTATCGCAAGCGCGTTGCGCTAACGCGAAGTCAAATTTGCAGACTTAATATGCGAAACTGTCGGTAAGACTTTAAGTGTGTGGCGGCCTATTAACGTTCGCCTCGTACGAAAGCATGCAACGTTATTCAGATTTTAATTGGCGACAATACTTGATTATCGAGGAATGCCGCGCGGCGTTAAACATACGTATTTGCATAAGTCTACTACATGTTTGAGAAATGATAATTCACAGAGACATTTGAATGAATAAACCATGCTGTCTCACCTTGGCGTCGAAGGCATCGCTGGGTACCCGCTGCAAGCCGTTCATCGTCGGTCCTCTCACGCTTCCCGGTACCCGAAATTCCGGAAATCTCACTCAATCGAACCACAAGTTTTGTAATCGTACAAACAAACGTCGACACCCGCGAACGCGAGTCAGAACTTCAAACTCGGAGTTACTAGAAGCTGTCTTGAGGCATCCTCCTCCACGTGCGCGCAACAACTGAAACACATTTACGCGTTTTTCTTTTCGAACACTCGAACGAGTTGTCTTTTTCCACCTCGGCCCGAACAAACGTGAACGAAGGGGACGGGACAAGGAGTTGACGAAACTCAAAAATGATCGTTATGCGAAAAAGACATTACGTTGCGAATCGAATTTAAAACAAGATTATTTGCAATCTTACCGGACGCTCGAACTCGGCTGCGAATGAGAAACAACTGCGAGGCATCGAGTGGAACGAGTCACGCGAATAACAAAATACTAACAACAATGATTTCTTGGTTAACCAAGGTCAGGTCGCGATCTCCGCGAATACGCACGAATTCAAGACTTGAATAGGAACTGATTGTCGATTCCGATGATCGAGTCCATGTACGACGTTCCGTCAACAACGAGGGGAGATTAGCGTGCTCCGTTCCGTGCAGAAAACACGCACCGTTTGATGAAGAAGCACACTTCGCGGCCTGCGATAAGAGATTTGAAAACTCGTCGACTGGGAGCACACCGTGGCTGGCGCTTGCGCTCCGACATTTCGCTCGTCGCGAGTCGACGTATAACTACGCCACTACACCCCGAAACACGTGGTATGCGAACGCCACCCCTCGTGGCACGCCGAGAAGTTTTGAATATTTACGGAGGGCGTGAAAGGCGATTCCGCGCGTATCCGTAAAATGTATCAATAGCGAGACGATCTGAAAACAAGCAAGCTCGTATTGCAGAAGTGCACGTACATGTTTCTGTCGTAATCCGGTCGCGGAATGTCGCTCCCGTGGATAAATTTTCATCCGTTCGACCGAGTGGATACTAGAAAGAACGAAAGATACCGCGAGCACAGGTACCGCGAAGGCGGGCTACTCGAAAACTCGGCGTGTTCCACGACCGGAGGGAGAGGGAAACAGGTTTCGGAGCCGCGGTTGACCGGTTGTCGCCTTTTAAATCGATCATCTGTCTAGGTGGGATAGAAACTGTTGCCCGTATTCGAAACGAATACCTACAGAAAGCTCGGAACTGGCTGAAAAGTGTTGATCAGCCGTGTAACCGGCAATCCGTCGAGGTGGACGAATTAAAAGAAAGGTGAACGTGTCCGCGTCTGGGCGACGGTTTCGCGACACCGTGGAGGAAGGAGGATACGCTGCACTCGCGATTGGAGAAACGATACGTAGCGGATAGACCAGGCAGGCACATGGCAGGCATGTCCCTGCCGCAGGATTATACGTAGCAACCGGCGTTCGGGCGCTCCGCGTTGAGACTGCCGGCGCGGCTAAAAAACCATACGATGACCTCATCACGCAGAGTCTGTTCTCCTGCCCGTGTCACTACTACTAACCATCGTAAAAACATCTTAACCATCCGCCTCCTCCTGAAGGTTACTGCTCGCGTTATCACTTATCTAGAGCATACTGTCAGGACTCCTGGACGCAGGAATCTAAGCTAAAAAAAATTGCGATTCTTATCATACCTAAAACGATTCCCCACGCACTAGCATGTGCACATGAGACGTTAGAATAATATACATGTAGTGATGAATGTGCATCAATAATAATGTTATATCTTTCTGAATGGTCTATTCATATATTTCTAGGAAATGGGAATTTGCAATATGAGAATTTTTCTTCGTGTCGAACAAAGTGACAAAAAATTCAGACTCTGAGATAAACTGGAAGGTAGCAAGCTATTTTGACTATGATTTTAATTCGAACTTTAATTAAGATCCATTTGCATTGCAATTGAATTCGAATAATGTTACACGAATTATTCTATTCTATCTTATATCATTGTGTCATTACGTGCTCGGGATTTGAAATCTAAGGCTTAGTTCGAAGTTCAAGATATTTAACTGAATAAATACACAATGATAAGTGTGCGTAAATAAACGATATAAATATTATAATCAAAGGTTTACTACTATAGAATGGAAGAAACAACACGGGTACAAGAAGTACGAGTACGGACAGTATATAGACACAGCAGTACTAGCAGTAGTAGTGGCAGTAGTGTGGTTGGTGTGGAGCATGGAACGACATGTGCGATCGGCATGCAGTAGCTAGCGTTTGTATTATGAATTTAAAACAATCGCAGATTGTACTGGAGAACACAATTAATGACATTTATTATTATAATGTATCTATCTACTGACATTTGTGTTTCTTAATGAAAACAAATTTTATTATTAGAGAACTCGTGATTATTGTGCGTATTGAAGGTTACGTGTGACGTATGTACTGTGCGGAGGATTCCTTTTGTAATATTATCGCATTGAGAATATATGAATGAAGATGTTTATCGACATTTGATTCTTATCGTCAATGAAATTGTAATAAACCATTAATAATGGCATCTGGCAAGCCAGGCAATTCGAGCAATTCGGTACCGTCGAACGTTCGAATTAAAACAGAATCTGGCACATCTATGCCTGTGCCTTTAACGAGCATTAAAACGGAGCCTGGCTTATCAAGTACAACTAGATTAACTTCGTTTCGTTTGCCAAGGGATTTAACATTAGGAGGTAGCATAAAGACTGAGAAATCTAAGAAAGTATATATTCCAAATTTAAATGCTCAGAGGACAAAGAAGAAGGAGTGAGTTAATTTAACAAGACAAATTACTCTCATTGAGATAATGAACTGATCGAATAATACTGAATATCTTTTAGAGAATCAGTACAAAATGATCCTACAAAATCGACCAGAGGCAGAGATCACAAGGGGCATGGTAGAGGCAGTACAGATAGAGGACGTGACAGAGGTCGTGGAAGAGGTTCTAGCAACTTAATTCAAGTATGTTAACACTGTAGCTTTTAAACAATTCAATTGTTGAGAAACATATTGTCCATAACTATACTTGTAGTCTAGTGGTATCTGGTCTACTGGAATCACAGCAACAACAGGGAAAAAAAGTAGCAGTGGATTCAGAGATACTGATAGAGATAGTAGAAGTAGTCAAACACATCTGGAAAGACCAAAATTAGACTTGAATCGCAGTATTAACAAAGCTGAAGAAGAAGAAAAAATAAAACTGCTATTAAAAGATGACTTTCTCGATGATGGAGAACCTATGAATATTGAAAATAGTCCTGTTATATTGCCAATGATCAAGGAAGGTTTGTACTACTAGATGAATTGTGTGGGGATGTGTTCTAATAGAAAAAATACATTATAAATTTATTATAGCAAAGTTATGTAAAGAAGCTAAAGTAAAAGTTGAGGAAGATGAAACGGAGGAGGTTGACAAAAAGCCTATTATTTTGGAAAATGGAGAAGGTATGTATGATTTTTGCATTATTAGTAATATTTTATAATAATCGATAATCGTATTTCAGCAATGTCACCAAGAAAGGAACCTAAAGTGAAAATATCGAAAACAGATACAGATGAAGTAGATGATATTCCAAAAATAGCCGAAAACAAGACTAATTCTTATATTTTAATGCAGGTAAGATCTAACGTTATCCTCTGCTAAACACAATATGTATGCCTAGCAAGAAATAGATTAATAAGTGAAATAATAGTTTCCAGATTGTTTGCCAGGTTTAGTCAGCAGTGCAGATGATGCTAGACCAACTCGATCAAATGCTACAAATTGCGAAAAAGAGAATTATAATAAATCTAAACTGGAATTATGTACCTTAAACAGCCTAAAATCTGGCATTTTAGGTAAATTACAGATCTTGAAATCAGGCAAAGCACGCTTATTGTTGGGTGAAAATAATCTAACAATCGATGTTGGTTCGCATCTTAGTTTTCGACAGGTACTTAAAGTGATGTACTTAAAGTGATTGAGTACTGGCGAATTTTACAATTGTAATAATTTACATTACAGGATCTTATAGCGGCGAAAGTAGATACTGAAAAGTTAACTGGTGATCTCGTTAATCTCGGGCCTGTGAACAGTACACTTATATGTTCGCCAGATTGGGAATCAATGCTGGCCAAGCTGTAAATATATTTGTAGTTTTATTGTGTATTTAATATTATGGAGAATACATGATTGTGATGATTTATACATTATTTAAAATACAGATGTTTGTTTTTTTTGAAAATCATGTATTTTCAATACTACAGTATACGTGAAAGTTACATCACGTACAAAGTTAGTAGCAGTTCATAAATCGAAATAAATTTACAATGATTGTTGATTAAAGTCCATTACATAATTTATATACGAATCTCGTAACAAGAGGGTGTGATAATTCCTTATAAATACTCAATACGTCTCTTCAAGACTGGTTAAAATGATTAATTGAAAAATCATTTTTACACAGCTTTGATTTACGTAAATCTTATAGTCCAATAAAATAAATGTTAATTAAATCATGAACGTATAAACTACAAAGATAGTATGTCTACCTTTTATTTTCGGTTGTGTCAACTTTGGGAAATATAAAAATCATATACTGAAGTGATACGAGAAATTATTGCTTCTATTGTGATAACAAACACTATTTTTACCTACTAAATAAAAAAAAAGCAACTATTGTATTCAACTCTGTAACTTCAGTGTTTAAAGTTTAGTTCATAAAAATTACATTGTTTTGCCTAGAGGACGATTTTTTTTTAATATAGCAGACTTATTTTACACAAGTAGTGTGACATGATAAAATCCTACTTATCGCATAATAACAAAGAGAAACGTATTCATGATACATTTAGGGCAAGTGCCTTGAAATACAGAGGTACACACACGTTACACACCCTCGTTAGTTAGACACACGAATTCTTAATCACTCCTCTCTATACTGTGACCTTTTTTCATTGACTTCAATGCCTTTTCTCGGAGTTTCTTCTCAAGTTCTTCCGTATTACCCTCACTTACATCTGACTCATCGGAATCGGCAACTTTCTTCTTTTTATGCTTCCTGTGTTTTTTATGTTTTTTGTGTTTCTTGTGCTTTTTATCCTTCTTCTTTTTCTTTTCTTCTATTTCACTTTCCTGGGAAGAAAAGATTACGAATAGTAAATAGTTCAATAAACAATTATTTACAAAATTCTATAAAAAAGAATAATCACCTCTGATTCGCTGGTGCTAGTCTTAGTCTTCTTTTTACGTTTTTTCTTTACCTTTTCTTCGTCTGAACTATCTTCTGCTTTCCTTTTCTTCTTTGCTTCTTTTTCTCCAATTTCTTCGTCATCTGTACTTGAATCTCGCTTAGATTTCTTTAGTCGTACTTTTCCTTCATCTTCGCTTGTAGAATCTTTCCTTGACTTTCTGTTTCTTGATTTTTCGTCCTCCGAAGAACTGTCTCTTCGTTTTCGCGTTTTTTTCGGTTCTTCATCTGAACTTGAATCTTTTTTGGGCTTGCGTACTTTGGACCTATCTTCTTCAACTTTGCCTCTTTTCACTTTTTGATCTTCGTCTCCGGAAGAAGAGTCTTTCCTAGCTCTCTTTGATTTTTTTATTTCTTCTTCCATCTCTTTCTTCGATCGTTTGCGAGATTCATTTTCATTCACTTCCCGTTTCCTGTTGTCTTTTCTCTCCTTGTTACGTTCATCTAGTAAGTCTGGAAAAATTATTACAATGAAAATAAATTAGAATCAATATTAAGCTACATGGAAAATAAGCAAAATTACCTCCTCGATTTGAGAATTTTTTGTTCTTTTCCACGTGCTTTCTTTCTTCTTCGGAATCTGAGCTGGAATCTCCTTTGTCCGATTTATCTTCATCCGTAGAGGTTTTCCTGGATTTTCTTGACTTCTCTAATTTCCTGGGCCGCTTCTTCCCTGAATTGTCAATATATATATGTACGCTTGTAAATATTTGTTAATCAAAGTTTATGTCTGTCCAGCTTTTTTATACCTTCGCTTTCACTGTCATTTGAATCCGTAGAACCATCACGCTTTTCCCGTTTTAACTTCTTTATCACTTCCACTGGTTTCTTCAAAACTACTGGCTCTGATGACTTCTGGCCAGACTTCTTTTCTTCGGATGTTGTCTTAAATAATTTCATAGATTTGTCGTCCTTTTTCAATGGGAAGGTATCCGAGGAAAAACTGGATTCTTCTTTCGGTGATCCTTCCTTATTGTCTTCTCTGGAAGCAAATATGTAAAAGAACACTTGAACACTATTCGATGTATTGATTAATTCATTAAAAATATTATATGAACTTACTTTGATGGTTGTTTAACTTTAATCGCAGCTATAATGTCTTCAGTCTTCTTAAATGGTGATGGTGTTCGTGACAAACTCTTCGAAAACTGTAACAAATTACACAAACATAATATAGTATAAAAATGAAATATATTTGGAGTAAATATATGTGTCTAATGAACGTACTCTGTGCCTAGTCACAGGAAGGATAACAGGTTGAAGTTTCTTAGGAGAAACGCTGGGATCTGGTTTCTTGATATTCACAGGTTCAGCTTTCTTGACGTCTTTTTCGGGTCGCTTAATGGGTTCCTCTTTTACAGGCTTTTCCTTCTCCTTGCGTTTGTCGTCCACGTGATCGCGCTCCCTCTCACGTTCTCGCTTCTCTTGAGATGACTTCCGCTCAAGTGACTTCCTGCACAAAGACAATAACAAGCGTTCTTAGAAAATGCAAGAGCATCCATTAACTGCTAAGCAGGAAACACAACATAGCTGACTTTACGCTCCGACAATCGTAAGTGTCTGTAACAAAACATGAAAGTATGAGATAATCGTTTACTCACCTGGTCACTTCATCCTCATTGCTAGAGGAACTACTTTCGCTACTTTCCGAGCTACTTGACTTAGACCTTCCGTTTCGCAATTCTTTTCGCGATCCCGTATCAGCCGATCTTTTAACTTTTTCCTCCACCTTCTTCTCCTTAATCTTCTCTTTAGCATCTCTTGAACGATCGGGAGATCGTTTGGCATCTCTCGAACGATCCACCGATGACCTTTGATCTTTAGATCTAGATCTACGATCCCTAGATCTCGATCTATCTCTTCGATCTCTATCCCTCCTGTCCCTGTCTCTGGAACGATCCCGCCTACTCGATCGGTCGCGAGAGGAAGATCTATCGTACCTGGTGGATCGATCCCGTCCATCTGGCGAACGACGTCTGCTGTCACGGCGATCTGGAGATCGACGTCGGTCTCTTCTCTCCGATGATCTGCGTCTTCGATCAAGCGACCTTCTTCGGCGCCTATCCCCGGGACTAGGCGATCTGCGACGGTATCTTGCCGGACTTCTACGAGGGGGGCTTCTATGACAATTGCAAGAAGCTTATCGATATTAATCATGTTTATTTATTTAAGATCAAGCTTTATTAGTAATGTAATGAAATACCTCACCTTCGCCTGCTAGGTGCTCTACGCACAGATGGTGGCCGCATGCTGCGACTTCCACTGTATCTGTCCAATCTTTCCCTTTCTCGCTCCCGTTCTCTTCTTCTTTCCCTCTCCCTGTCGATTGATCTCCTAAATAAAAATTAATTCAATGGTTAGATCATTGTAACAAATACGAATCTCTGTAATGGAAAATATTTATACATACCTTCTATTCCTATCTCGAGATCGATCACGTGATCTGTCACGGGATCTATCTCGTGATCTATCTCGCGATCTATCCCTGTCCTTGGACCGTGCCCTGTCTTTTCTCGGCGTAGGACTTCTTCGTTTTGGAACAGATTTCCTCTCTCGACTCGAGTCACTGTCACTGCCGCTATCATCTTTGTTTGTCTTTCTATATGACCTCTTTGCTTGCACTCCGTCCTTTTTCTTTCTAATCTCGAAATCATTCTTATCTTTCGCTCCTTTATCTTCCTCTGATTCGGAGCTACTGCTTGTACTTGCATCTCGTTTCCTGTTGGAATCGAGATTATCCTTTCTCTTATCGGGCGACTTTGAACGAGACTTTGACGACCTTGAATCGCTGGAGTCGGACCTCGATTTTCTAGACTTACTTCTGTCATTGCTTTTCGATCTCGATTTTTTAGATCGTGAACGAGATCGTGAACACGATCTTGGCGACTTAGACTTCGTACGTCTCGATTTTGAGCGATCCTGCGACCTAGACTTGGATCTTCTTGATTTTGATCTAGATCTGGATCTTCTTGTTCTTGACTTGGAACGAGAACGTCTTGTCTTAGGTGCGGGTGATCGAGAACGACGGGTTTTCGAATCACGGCTCGGTGATTTCGATCTAGATTTCTTCGTTCGACTCACGGGTGATTTCGATCTAGATCTAGACTTCTTCGTTTTTTCCAGTGACTCGGGAGATGGCGTACGATTATTATTTTTCTTCTTTCCATCAGCTATGCTCATTAATTTAGCTTGCAATCGAGATATTGCAACTGCGGCTTCCCTGTTCAAACACCTTAATAAATAATCTTGGAGAGTTTATCATCAATAGTAAAATATAAATACTTACGGTTTTGTTTTGACAGGCATAAGGGGTATAGCATTCTCGGGTTGAGGTGAATCTTCTCGTTCGACTTTAACTTCAGGCATATCTTTTCCGTTGTCTTTAACTGAATTTTTGCTCGGTGATCTCGAAGAAGATCGTCGTTTACGACTCGATCTGTCACGGTCTCTGTGTCGATCTCTCGATCGACTTCTTTTTCTGCAAGCAGAATTATACGTATATAAAATACGCATACATAACCGAAATGAAAATGATAGACTTAAAAAATTACCTTTCTCTATCGCGATCTCTACTTCGATCTCTGCGACGTTCCTTCGATGAACCACGCTCCTTTTCTTCCTTTTTTATCTTGTTTTCTGCTTCATCTTTCTCCTTCTCTCTTTCCTTTTCCTTTTCTTTCTCTGCCAAGGATGCTTGAAGCTTCTCCTGTTCTTCCTGAATTGATATATCGTAACTTAGAGCGTAATAATATACTGTTTAAATTAATCGAAAATCTAAGCTCAATTGCATGCATTGAAAACATTCATTGAACTGAACATTTCACTGAATGTCAAAATCTAGTTATTCAATTGTTTTACGATTATTGGATTAGTTCATACAACTTTATAAACAAAAAATAACAATGTAAGAAATCGGTAATTACCAAACGTTTTTTAATCTGATCTTTTTTTTGTTGCAGGAAAGCCTCTGGAATGCCCGTTACACTTTCCTGAGCGGAGACCAGGAGGTCCCATAATTCACCCATGAAAGATCGGGCATTCCTTCCATTCAGGAAACCTGTGAGGTTGATCTGCATTTTTCGGGGATCGGGAAACTGTAAAATATACAGTAGTTCTTTTATTCTTCTGTGCACGTAATTTTGAGTAATAGTGTTGAGTTATATGGAATTGTATAAAAAAAATCGAAATCTTAACATCCATCATGATACTAACTGCTTTTCCCCCTCGAAAAAGCAGATATATTTTTTAGATTTTTAATTTACCTTACCATCCAATAATTGCTCATTTCACGTATGCAACTAGTATACAAAATACGCTAGGAAAGAAAACATACTCATCGATAAACGCACAAGTAGCACCAGATACCATTTTGATACCTTCTCAATTAATTAATATCGCTAACGTAGACGCTGAAATAGGAAACTTAGAAGTACGAATTGAAAATGTTAGTTGAAAAAGAAAGGATTAATTTTGGAATAGAAGGAACACCGTTCCACCAACCTGTGTCGCTGACAAAGTGTGTCAAATCGAGTAGAGATACCACCGGGCATCGTCCATGAGTCAATCGAGTCTGTGATTGACAGCATGTCTGGAGAATCATTAACTGGTGAACAGACCTGCACGATGTAAGGATCCTCGATTCCTCGGGATGTTGTTCGGAGCCGTTGAAGACGGAGCAACCTGCTTCCCGGTGAGCCAGTTGCAGCGATGTCTGCGTAACAAGAAGGCATCGAGGATGGCGGCATGTGGATTCCCTCTTGTTTCGGCATGAACAGCACCAGTCGATCGTCAGAGAATGTTGTGCAGATGATTGAAAGCGTCATCGCTTTCGAAGTTGCAGTTTCGGCGTGCAACCGCCTCGAACAAGGCAGCCACTGGACGAAGGAACAGCAGACGGAACGGCTAACAGACGACGTAGTTACAGCATCGCAGACATCTGCAGCACGGGGTTGAGCAGCTCCGAACAAAGACGAGACGAGCAGGAACACCGCGATGTAGCGAGATTATCGCGATTTCGCCAGTTCTCCGGTGTTGATGAATCGATGTTGGATGAGCTGCTGAGGTTGAAGTTTCAGCAGTGTTCTAAGATGACGTTGACATACCAGCTGGCTGGGATCAGCTAGCGTTGACGGCTGATAGAAAGGCGGCCAATCGGATGCAGAGAGGAGCACATCCGAATGCCATTTGGACAATAGGGTTGAGCCCCACCAACGGTCTCTACTTATACTAACGGGGAATTCAAACATATGTGATAAAAAATTGATTTCACATGTAACAGTGTTGCAGGATCAGCTACATCAGTTTTTTCTTTTGTTGATATGGGATATAGCTTGGATGGGACACTCATAAGATCAGTAAAAATAGGAAACCATGGGATATACAGGATGAATGATGTTTATCAAAATTTAAGAAAAAAAAAGAAAAAACAATGAGGCAAGTATAATTATCTATGGTTTCTGCCTCCTTGCTTTTAAACTCCAAAGTCAGCACATTGTGCAGATTTTGGATGATAGCATTTGTAACTGGTACAAGACATTGTGCTGAAATAATGTGTATTTATCGATTTTCCTATGATGAGGGGAAAAAGCCAAGTGAACGTTCTTCATATTCCATATTATTAATTTAAATTTTATCTCTTAAAACTAAATTTCTAATTAAATCGATAGTGTACGAAATTACTCACCTTTTCCTCCAGTTGATTATACACAAATTCTACCACTACGTCGTCTTCCATCCCTAAGATCTGGGTGATCTTCGTAGTAATCCATGGCTTGATAACATCCAGTTTAACTTTACTCATATCCACCTAACAATGAAACAGCTCGCAGTGAATATCAAAGTAGAGAGCAATTATATAAAAGAAATAACAAAAGAATGTCTACCTTCTGTGTAAGGGAATCGCCAAACTTCATTTGTTTAAGAAGCTTTTTCTCCTTGTCGCTAAACCTCGTGTCCTGCGACGCGGTGGTGCCCTGTAATTTATTATTGGAAAATAAAAAATCCAGAATAGAAGGCAACAATTTGAGACAAATAAAGTCGCTCGGAGCAATATTATTTTAAGCTTTAATTAAATTTCTCAACTTACCGTGTACATCATCTTGAGAAGGTGTAAAAAGCGAAAGCTGCACGATGTTAACTAATGATGCTTCAATTCGTTTCTCCAGCAATGAGTCAAGAAACAGCGAGCCCAGAAAAGACGCTGCGATATAATTGCGTCTTTTCTGATTCGCAAATTGATATATAATCTTATATACACAAATATCGAACGTTAGAACGAATAGTACGTGAACGCGGACGCTCCAAACACGCACAATAGATCAATCCGCCAACATGGTGGCCGTTTCGTTAAAACAGGAAGTTGAAGTTGCTTAGCAATTTGCAGTGCTACCACAACAACTAGTAAACCGTACCAACATTTTCGCGCCAACCGCGCCGTTCCCGCGGATGATGGCATACGAGGTGCCGTGGCAATAAGATCAAGATCAAGAAGATTCTTTTAAAGATTTACGCAATCCGGAGAGTCACGATGATGCACTAAAAGGTACTTTATGTTTTATTAGTAATTACTTGTTCCGATTGCTTGATCGCGAAAAGCAAAAGATTGGCAAAAAGTTTGAATAAGGATTGATGTTCTTTTCGCGGAGCCTTTTTGTGCATTCCTAAATAGAAAACCGGTTCGAAGAGAATACATGTGTGCTTTTTCAATATGTATATGTATATGCGACTTATTTTTTTCCGGTTATTCATACTACCTGCTTACGTGTCGCTTTTAGTACCGTTAGCTACTAGAAATAGATTTCGAGGTATACTATACATTTGTACCTGTTTCTCGTTCTTCGAAATCCATTGGAAAAAGCAGACACGTTTGCGTTTGGGAAGGGGGATGGTGGATTAGAGTTTGATCATTCATTTAAGAATACAAATCGTGGTCTAATAATAAATTATAAATATGTATATACTTGCATATTACAACTATAGATACAAAAGATGACATGTGGTATGAAAAAATCGTTCGTTGCACATGTATTAATAACATTCTGGCGTTTCTCTGTTTATCACTTTCCATGTATGTACGGCACTGGCACAGAACGTAAACATGCGTAAATTCGTATTTCTATTCAATTTCTTCTCGCCTAAAGTCGATCCGCAAAATGTCAACGAGAATTTCTGTACATTTAATCAACGATTAACGATAAACTTTTATCAGAAAGTTAACAAGTTCAACATACGGAATCAGAACATCTTCAATTGTCAATATTAGTTAATTGCAAACACGAAGTTCGTCGAAATTTTGAAGCGACGCTTGTAAAAAATCAAGATAACGGAGGAGTATCAATGATGATTAATATGGCGCGGCATGAATGAACAACGCAACGGCACGAGTCATCTACTTTTGGGTGCTGCGGCGGATTCTCGTCTATGAAATAACCAACCGTAGTCAATCGAGGTGAAGGGTCCCGCAAAGCGGATAACGGTACATTATACTCATCGGAATTCATGGTACGGTCCATTCGTACTGCGACTGCACGTCCATCCTGTTTGCCGGTACAGTTCTGACGCGAGCTTCCAGAGTCCGGTTCTGAGAGGCATAACCGGGCCAGCGGCATTTATCACCTGCTGTTCAACCGACACGGGAATAAGGATCATCCTTGCAATGGGAATGATCCACATTCTAACACCATGCTTTTTATTGCCTACACAATACTGAGAGATATTCTCCTCAACGAACACGACCGATAATTATAAAACAGGAACGTTTGTTCGCTTCAACTAATTGGATGTTAAAAAGTTTCACGTCGACGCACAACGCAGGGGAAACGAGTTTCAAAAGGAGGAACGAGACGGAATCGGTTGGATAATGACGCAGGGTGTCGGACAACGCATTAAGGATGTCTCCGGCTGGTTAGGACACGGTCGAGTAAAATGATATAACTTTATGATACCTTTCTGAGGATCTCTCGCCGATATTTCTCGCGGAGCACTGTTGCACACGAGCAGTCTCATACACCTGCTCGAAACCGGCTCGCGGGCAGGTCTAGTGAACTCGATCGGATTCCGAGACCGGATTCCGCGAAACGACCGCCACTGCTCCGATTTGTTTTTTCACGTTGAGATAACTTCTTCATTCTTATTTTCTTTCTTTTTTATCAAAGAAACGAGGACGAACAAGCCGCGCCACTGTTCAACCGTGAAGCACGTCTAATTGTCAATGTTTTTTTCAATCAAATTACTTGTCATAAAGACAGTTTACGGATCAACGAATTCCACGACTGTACGATTACCGATATTGATGATCCACGGTAAATGAGTCTTTATCTCGATGCCTAAATTCGTAAATTGTCTACGCGCTAACCCGGAATCACCAGGGATACCGCGAGAAGTTTGTATCTTCAGTTCTTCAGCTAAAAAGCTGTTCCTCGTGGAAATCGACGTCCTGGACAAACTAGGGAAGCTGATCGGTCCACGGTAAAAGTTACCTTCCCCGTTTGGCATGGACGAAAGCGTTTGCAGGGCGAAATCGTTCATATTCGAGATTTCTTCCGAGAAATCAATTTTCTAGCTACTTCGTTACTGGTTCGAGCGTTCCATCCTCCGTCAAAGAGGTTACTAGGTCCCTCGGCGAGGTTGTTCGATCACCTTCCATCGATCCATTCGTCGCGTTCACCGCGAGACTCTCGAACTGCGTCATCCGGTGCGCGCTCGATGCCCGTCTCACGGGTTCGACGAACGTTTAAAAGCTTGGAACGGCTGGGGCTTCCGACGCGATGCTCGCCGAATTTCTCGGCTTGCACACACAACCGCTCTCGACCAGAACGTAATCTTGACCGGTCAGAGTCACCGGCCCGAGCGGAATCACCAGGAATAGGTACGGCACGTACGTCTGCGTGCATTCGCCATGGACCACGTCGCACTCTTTTGATCTGAAACATCGCGATAAAATTCTTATGTCAAAAGACACCAGAATGCGATCAACATTCCCGGAATGAAAACTGTTGCCCTTAATACATTAGGTATGACTCGATAATCGTGCGAGTAAGTACTAGCCCGAAAACGCTTGAGAAGTAGACTTCGCTTCGGACCAGCTCAGCCCACTGTTCCACATTCGACTCACCATCGGAATTTCAATTGGAATCACGTCGTTTGTATCTGATCGCAGATCACGATCCGACGTACTAAGAAAATAATCGCACATACCGATCATGCTTCGTCTCTCGATACATTGGGTTGGACGAAGGTCAAGGAAATTTCATACTCACTCGCAAACTTCGAAGACAACCTGCTGGAGGAGGTCGGGAAATTTCTGTACAATCGTCACAGGCTGGCCGCTGGTTAAACTGACTCCGTACATAGGCGCTGTGGTGTTGTACCTCGTTTTACATAATCTGGCTGGAGAGCCGCATGTCTCCTTCGGGGAAAATGCTCTGCCTGGAAATGGAGCGCACGTAAAGATAATTTCTTGATATCCAGCTTAGAAGTTTTTCTAGTAAGACAAGTTTCGTTGACCTAGAAATTGCTCGGCTTCTCTGCGAAACCTGAACATTTATAAAGCACGGTTACACTGAGGACAATTATTAAAAACGAGGTTCTAAATGGAAAAGAATTTGGGAATGAGTTTAGTAACGATTAACGAGGTAACCCGTTCACGGGATTGGCGCCCTTTCTTTGGAATTCAGTCGGCTCGTGTGTTCGAATCGACGAGTGGGTCGCCGGTGTCCCGTTATGAACAGAACGAGCGATAACTGTATTGGCCGGATAACACGGTGCCTTATTACCGTCCTCCTGTGCCAGCGAGCCATTATCCGCATTAAAGGTCCGAGAATCGATGCTGAAGAGGCAAAGGTTAATGCATTTTTTCGCCTCCGCAAATAATAATCGTAGTTTTACGATCGGCGAATTTCAAAAGGAATTCACCTGGCACAGCGGGTTCAAAAGGAATTCACCTCGCACATACTCCGTTCAAACCGGGTTTTCGTGTCATAAGGACAGCTGCATAATTCAAGGCTGCGAACTGCCGTATAATCGCGTGGGTAACCGGCCGTTCCGATTTTCGTGCATTTTTCATCCTGCCTTTGATGGTCAATACGCCGGCTTTGTAAGCATGTAAGCCTGCTTCACGAGTATCCGGTAAACTAAAAGCGTTTATCCTTAGAACAAGCGCACGCGGTTCTTATCGAGGAACAACGGTATCGTAAAGTGTACACGCGGTAGTAAATCCAAAGATAATATAAAAGCGAATTTAACTGCTAATTTCACCCAGAAAACCATAATGCACACGAAAAAAATATTTGCATATTGTGTGCTATGGATAATTAGATAAGATAAATACAAAGCAAATACAAGCGCGGGTTTCTAATAATTTGATAAATTAATTCTTGGCTTGTGCAGTGAATAATTATATAAGAAACGAGATGGATAAATAAATTCAGAGCACATGGATTATATCTGCCCGCATTTATTCTTGATTCAAATAATCGGCCCAACTACTGTTGAGCTTCGAACAAGAGGGACAAGTTCGTCTTCCGCATGTTTTTAACCGAGCCATATCTTCAGCTCGTTCATAATCTGTTAAGCTATTTTTCTACCAGATAGGATATCTTGTCTTAGAACCCGATAGTAAATATTTCAAGGCTGTCTGTATTCAGTTTTGGAAAAATGATTGAACTCACCGTTTCGCGACGATTCTGCTCTGATTGAGTAATCACCGTGCACACTTTTATAATTGTGCAGAAGCGCTTGCCTCGTCAATTCGGGATCGACGGTTCGAGGTTGATGCGATCTCGCTGTCCGACTGCCCGCCCACAGGTTCTTGTAACTCCTCGATATCGCGGCTCTGCGATGCAACAGTAGTTAGTTTTAATAACGGTATCGCGCGTAAACCAGGCATCTCTCAAAATTCTACCGGAGATCCATATAAGAGATCACTTACTGGGGATACTGCATGTTGTTTGGACCTACACAATCGGCGGGATCTGTGAGCGCATCTCCCCACACGTATTTCAAGCCCAACCCGTTCCCCTCGCATTTTTTCGCCCCGTACACGCACACGTGGGTGCACGTCGAGATAACGAGGATCAGACCGAGGTACCTGGACATCTGAAACCGGACACAGGAAAGCTTTGAGAATGACACACTTCTACAATACTTAATTGATTTGAAAGCATTTTAATTATAGAACTAGGCTGATGGAAATTATCACATAATAACAATGTTCATCTGGAACGAAAGCGTGGAATCAGGTAGATCGTTTCACGCATCGAGACTTGAGTATTAATGAAAGAACTAATTACGCCAACGGGGAACGACTCATGAATAAAACAGTCGGAATCAGCGCTGGATTCGAATTACCGGGATCGGGACCAGTACGATAAAACGCGTCGTCACCACGACGAAAGCAGACGGGAGCAAGCATGGAACTCGAGTTCGCATGAGGTCAAGAGCAAAAGTAAACGACACTGGAGTGTGTGACACGTCGTGTAAAAATTCGAACCGAATTTGCTTTAACCGGAAGAATTACATCGTTTCCATGCTTTTTCATTATCGACGCGTATGATCGCGCAACTGCACCACCTTTTGTGCTCTCTCTATAATTTCGCGGACATTTAACGATTCCGCGGTCTGTCATTACCGTGTTTTCTTCTGGCGGTCGACTTCCTCTGAACAGCCGAAGAAACGAGCGAGCTAATGTTTTTCCCTTTCAGACCTCACGGACGATGAAAATCGTTCGAATGCGAGAGAGTGGCGCGCAATTAGGAATAATAATTAACCAACGTGAGCAATTGAATCTCCGAATACGATTTGAGGTTTCTAGGTTGCCAGATCCATATAACTTCCGCGACACGAGTGAAAGCAACTCGATACGTACATATCTAATGTTCAATGCTCAATTCCGAATGCCTCGCGGACCTCGTCCTTGATTCTTCCTGTTAACTAATTTTAAGTGAAGGAACATCGATCGTTTTGAAAATTCTGATTTGACGTTTACCAATGTAATAAATTGCTCATGGGAAAAGGAAAGGAAGAAAATTATTAATGGTCGAGTACTCAAGGCTGGTCATTGGCCGTGACTGGTATTGCGAACCTATCTCTTCAGGAAACGCTGCTCACCTTTAACACGTTTCCCTTCCCGCAGGAAACGTTTCTCAAAATGAAAAACGTCTTCTGCTTATTTAAACTGCGTTAGAAGTAACTGAGTGGTAATCGGATGTTCAGTCCTTTCAGCTTTTCGTACGCGAGTCACGCTGCATCAGCGCGAATACGTTTTCGAAGGAAAGACGTTACATACGCGTGTATAATTGCCCCGTAATATCGATCGTGCAATAGAGACATTGGGATAGATACGTGCGAGATAATGTGCTCGCGTTTCTCGTGGATTATATAACGGCGATCCTGCGAGAAAGAGGGAGACCGGCTGCCTACACGTGAGAATTACCTGAACTTGGGAGATCGGGCTCGCATATTCACAGTAATTCAAGATCAGCGAGAACAATTATCCGTGCCGCGACCTTTCACATCGTTAGCAGACTTTTTCTGTAGATAGAACGCTGTTAATACGATAACATGTAGGATGAATAATTAACAGGGTATCCCGACCGTGGAAATAGCCGGCCGGATTAAAACGAAGCTCTTTTTTAACTCGAAGCTGCGAAGCGGTTCTCGAGAAGGTTTGAACAATTAGATCTACCGCGAGAATCGGAGGTAGGATCGACGAGAAAAGGTTTAGGAAAAACTGTGCTTCTGGTAGCCGGGAGCAGATTCCTTGTGGACCATGAATGCGTCATGCGGTTGATTCTAACGGTAAAGGTGAATCGTCCAAAACGTTCTTTCCTCTCGCGCCAGTTTCCTCCTTATTGTACATGCGTTTACTCATCCTTGCTCTTTTCGTTAACGGTACAGTCATTTCGGCGCTTCGCTTCATGAATAAATTATTATAACTGTCAGGGAGATTATTATACGTATTCGAAATTCCTCCTACGGAGATTTTCATTGTCAAGGACTGATCTTATTGCCCTAAATGCGAATGCTCGATTTCTTACTAGAAAATGTTAAGATGTAATGTGTATCATTCTTTCTATTGATTAAGAGGTATACTAAACGGAATGGAAAGGATTGATACAACTAAGGATAAAGATCAGGTCGCAGTTTCGTTTAAAGCTTTGTGTAGAATCTCGCCAACCTGTAGTAATTCAATTGCGATAATCACTTTTGAAATGAATCTTTGTTTTCCCGCACATGTCCAGAATATTTTACGAAGTCAATCTTCATTGATTCAAAAAAGTTACCGGCATCCTTTCTGTAGTGATGCACGTGTAATCGGAGGATTCAGAATTTTATGATTATTCAGATGTCTTTGAATTAGAATTTTATGTACAGGAATTCGAATTAAGGACAAAGTCGCGGGACTTGAATTTGAATGTCAATCTTGCGAACCTGCGGTGCATTTAATTTATTTAAAAATTTCTAGTTTAGATTGAAGACCAGGTTTGAATTAAACATCAAGGAGCATCAAAAGATAATGAATGCGACTTTTAACGAAAGTAAAAATTAAATTTTTGCAATTTCTGTCTGTTGCAGAATATCACTCACCGTGAGGAAGACCATTTTTTGACACAATGTGTTTTAAAATCCTTTCTTCGATCAGGTTTGGCAATACGATCGATTACATGAACCGATCGAAACGTTCAAGCGTAAAATAGGGAACAGAATTAAAATGAGGGCACACAGGTTCCTTAAACACTGTTCATGTCACCGCACCGGATGTCGTGGGGTCGAACACCTCCGTCCTCACAGGTGGATGTCCAGAGGTTGACTGTAGAATCGTAAGTAACCGCTCTCTGTGCTCCGGTAGTGCCGGGGAGAAAGAGGGGATGAGAGGAGTAATATCGGCCCCTATTCTACCTCGAAACCTTTTTTCTCTTATTGGAGAAAAAGGATAAAGAATAAATGAAAGAGGGTAACCAGGAACGCCCCTCTTTCTTCCCCGCATTTTAGACGCGTACTTTGAATTGTTAACCGCGTTTCTTCGTTTCTTTTATTTGTATTAAAATATGCTATGTTAATTTTAAAACAAAATTTGAGGATGTAAGGGCTGAGATAGTGACAATTATTAGCAGTACGTTCACTTTATAAATGTTGTATTATAATATACAAAGTGCACATATTTTTAAATTAACAATGAAAAGTATGACTGATGTTGTATGTCCGATGGTACTTTTGAAATTCATTGAGGGACGCGATAGCGACCCGAAGGTAAGATTGAGTCTGAAGGTGACTGCCGTCCGATACCGCGTCCTTTATGTACACGTAAATTCGAATTCGAATTTTTCTTTTACTTATTCTTTATTCAACTGTTTTACCTAGTTACAAAAATTCATTCTTTGAAACAAGTTCTCAGTTTGTTCATTTGCGTTTTATATTTCAAAACTATCAGTTGTCAAGTGTATGCGTCTTCAAGGTCTTAATGCTACTTGTAAAAAAGCAATGTCGAAACTACTTTCTGTTTAAAAGCTGGCACTACATTACGTCCGAAATGTATCTTATCGATTTCACTGACAAACAGGAATGGGGATTACTCAAATGTTCTTCATCTGAGCTCTGATGACAACAGATGCGAGTGATGCCTTTCGAATTTCCTATTAATTCTAGGAACGATAAATTTACATTAAAGTTACATATTGCAATAAACATTAATCAATATATAATACAGTAACATTAGTATCGAAGTAGCTCTCGCAATCTATTCTTGTATTAAAATAGTAGTGGATATATTTTCAATGGATACGTTCAAGATGACAGTCTTAGCGATATCAATCAAACAAAACTACGTGGGAACAATTTGACATGGTTCCAAACAAACTTTTGATCATGTAACGAAGGAGTTATATATTTATATTTCCACGTAATTTCGTAATATTCAAAGATAAAAAATGTCGTAACTTTAAGAATACTAAGAAAGTATTTAAGAGAAAAGAAAACTTCTCGCGTAACTTATACGTACACTGACATTGAAACATATCTACCATATTCTACAAAATACACTCAGTCCTCGAATTTAATAGAATTGACGCTAATATCTATTTGACCTCCACGGTAGCTACCGCGTTTCTTCTTTGTCTTTTCGTGACGAAATGATTTTCCCCTTGTGAATTTAAGGTCCTTATTTGCTTTCTCTCCCCACGAGCCACGAGCACCTCTCTGTTGGAAAAAAATTGTATTTTTACTTACCATACTAACATTTACCAGGGTAATACTCGACTACTTCGAACTAACCAACCCATTATACATAAATTATTTCTATCATCAATCATCAAACGTTATCTTCTTATTTTGTTGTGGTGCATTATCGAATGACCTCTTTTTGTCGAAACCACCCCTCCCGCCTCTGAAGCCACCGCGACCACCCCTGTCACCGTCACCCCACGATCTTCTAAATCCATCAGGTCTACCACCTTCGTTATCACCTCCCTTATCATACCCACCCCACGATTTCCTGTTATCAAAACCCCCTCTTCCGCGACCACCCCTAAAACCACCTCTGCCTCCTCTATCACCGTCTCCTCCGCGACCACCCCTGAAACCACCTCGTCCACCTCTATCATCGTCTCCGCCGCGACCACCCCTGAAACCACCTCGTCCACCTCTATCGTCGTCTCCTCCACGACCACCCCTGAAACCACCTCTTCCTCCCCTATCGCCACGACCGCCTCTGAAACCACCGCCGCGACCGAAACCATTTCTACCTCCACCGAAACCGCCCCTTCCCCCATGTTTCTTAAAACCACCCTCTTCCTGATCGTCTTCCTAAAACAGAAGGGAAACACAGGTCAGTCGCCGTTTTCTGTAAGGGTGAATACATGTCTTTTTGCTCATTTTCATTCTTTCAACAAAACATTATTAAATCGGGTTGGTGAATGCAGGGAAACATGACTTCAAGTTTTACAAAACGGCGAGCGACCTGCGCTTTCCGGATGTTTCCAAGCATTTACCTTCGCCTCAAATGAATTGTTTGCCAATCTCGGATCCAAGTCAAACTCATCGTCCTTTACACGACGAAACGGTGAATTTTTTGGTCGCTAAACACAGAGTGTTTTATGAATAAAAAGCATCTTCTACATTTTAAATAAACATGTAGAACATGATGATTACCTTGTCTTCGTTTAAACTGTTGCTCGCCTTCACAAAGTTGTTGTAATTATCTTTCTGTGCTTTCATGGGCAGTTTTTCCGTATCTTCATCTTCCTGTTCTATCTCTACATGTTTCCTCTTCTCACCTTTCGCTGGCGTTTTTTGAACGGGTGCCACTTTCGGTTGTTCTTCATCAGACTCACTTTCTTCTGAGTCTGAATCTGCCTTAGCTATTGCTTTTGGGGTAGTTTTGACTACAGGTGCAGCTTTTGTCTTCCCATCTTCCGATGAGTCTGTTTCAGAATCTTCGCTTGAAGACTCTTTCTTAACAGTACCTTTGCCTACTGGCGTAGGGACTGCTGATTTAACTGGTTTCTCATCTTCAGATTCATCTGAATCATCAGAACTAGATTTTGCCTTCTTAACTGCAGGCTTCGATGGTACTGTCTTTGCGGCTGGTTTCTGCTCTTCTTCGGAATCGTCAGAATCTTCGCTGGAAGATTCTGCTTTTTTTGGTACTACAGTTTTAGCAGGTGTTACCAATTTAGCAGGAGCAGGTTTTTTCGCAGATGGTTCATCTTCTTCGCTACTGTCATCAGAAGAAGACGCTGTTCTTTTGGCAGGCACATTTTTTACAGCTGCTGGTGTTGGTGGGCGAACGGTTTTTTTCGCTGATGGCTCCTCTTCGCTGCTATCATCAGTTGATGAAGATTCTCCCTTTTTAACTGTAACTTTCTTTGTTGCTACCGGTGTTGGTGCAGGGGTAGAGGTCTTTTTAGCGGGTGTTTCATCGTCGCTACTGTCGTCATCAGAAGATGATTCTTCTTTCGTAACTGTGACTTTTGGTTTACCTTTGCCTTGTGTCTGAGGTTTCACAGCTTCCTTCTTTTGTTGAACAGACGTTTTCTTCTGTGGCACTTGTTTACTAGCTTGCTTTGGAGTTGCTGTGTTATCTGATGAATCATCAGAATCATCACTAGATGATTCCTGCTTTGTAGTATTTTTAGTAGCTGGTACAGTTGGTTTAACTTTAACTGCTGGTTGTGTAGGAGCTTCGTCCTCTGAAGAATCATCATCACTGGATGATTCCTCTTTCTTCGCAAGTGGTTTTACAGCAGATATTGGTTTATTTAATACAGGCTTGACTGGACTTTCTTCTTCACTACTGCTGTCTTCGCTTGAAGATTCTTTTTTACTAGATACACTCTTGGCTTGAGGTGTTGCTATTGATTTTGTTTTTGCAGTTACATTTGCCTTAGATACTTTTTCGCTGTCCGAGTCAGATTCATCCGAAGATTCTTGTGATTTAGATACCTGTTGTACTCTTGGTGTAGATACTGCTACTGGCGTCTCCTCCTCTTCGGAAGAACTCTCATCTGAACTTTCTTTTTTCTTTACGGGTGCTGCTTTAGAAGGTGTTTTAACAGTAGTTTTACTCTTTGCTACAACTTTCGGTGCAGGTTTTTCATCTTCACTTGAGCTATCCTCTGAAGAAGATTCTTGTTTATTATTCACTGAAGCATTAACTGCAGGCTTTCCATTTATCTGTGGTTTCTTAGGAGTTTCCTCTTCGCTCTCTGAACTTGAATCTGAACTACTATCTTTAACCTGGGCTTTTATGTGAATCTTTTTCGGTGAGGTTTTTTGAAAATATTGACATACTTCTTGTATTGTTGGTGCACCTTTGGGCAATGCAGGCTGCAAATAAAATACATAAAAGTGAATGAGTTTATCATTAGTAATCTACTTTGTAAGAATTTTGTTGAAAAAACAGTGTATTGATAATTACAATTAAAAGGAAATAGGAGAAAAAGATATGAGAATCAAAGTTTATATGAAACTGTATTTTTGAATTATAAAGTAACGAAAATATATTGCCCACGTGGTATGACCGAATGGCGGTACTTCTCAGACCGCATGGACAGCGGCATCTTAGAAATCGATTAATTGATGTATATACGCAAATACTTTTTATAACCTTACCGCTTTTGTCTTCTTTTGGAACACTTTCGCTAAGGATGCGTCCTTCTTTAATAAATAGTCGTAGACAAGGGCGGAGACGCTCAATTCTTCAGCGGATGCCATGATGGACGCGTGCAAAAGGCTTGAAAAATTACCCGCAATTGCGAGAACGGCAGTTTTACGTCTCCTGGCCTCGTGTTGTATGAGGCGCTACAATCGAGCATGAATCACATGCAACGAAGAAGCGTAAACTCGATTATATGGTAGTAATGCATAAATTGTGGAACACATTGTATGTTGTAGTTTACGAACGCATCACAATACAATACGTTTGTCCATCCCAATGGTTTGTCTTTCTTTGCTTCTTGATTCGTCAAATGTCGGTTGGCTTCGTATTGGAGCATTTTGAAAATAGTAAACCGACATTGTTCAGTGAGGAGTGGTGAGGAGTTGAGGTTTCGAATGGAAATATAATTTCGTTAACTTTCTCGGACTAATTATTTGAAAATTATGACAGAGACCCAGCAAAAAACCAAATCTATCACATTGAAAGGCTCTGCGGAGTTGGTTAAAGAATATCTTTGTAAGTCGATCGCATTTTCATTGAGTTTTCACAATGTATGTGCTGCACGGTTATGCCGGGTTGGTTAACTCGTTACTTTATGCATTGTTTACTCTCCTTACAGTATATGGAGTGAACAGTATTTTATATCAAAGAGGCATTTATCCGCCGGAAACGTTCCAACCGACCGAACATTTTGGTATGTTCATTTTGATGTCAACTGACGAGAAGATCAAAGCGTTTCTGGATGCTGTCCTTGGCCAGATTCAGGAATGGCTTATCCAAAGAAAAGTACGAAAAATCACACTTGTTATAACAAATGTGAACACCAAAGAAGTATTAGAAAAGTGGGATTTTGTAGTCAGTTATGAAGGCCAGGTCTCTAATGGGACCAATGATAGTACAAAGAATGAGCTTTCTGATGTAGGCAGAAAGGATGTGAAGTCTATACAGAAGGAGATTCGTGAAGTTATACGTCAAATCACAGGTAACACATTGCAATGGGAGATTTACATTCTTTAAACTGAAGAACATTATGATATTTAATTGAGTTTTTCTTTGTTTCAGGAACTGTAAGTTTCCTTCCACTGTTGGACTGTTTATGCTCGTTCGATGTCTTGACTTATACTGTACCTGATTGTAACATTCCAAATGAATGGGATGAGACACAACCTGTATTTATTGCCAATAGTCAAGAGGTACAGTTAAGATCATTTTCAACTTCTATCCATAAAATGGACACTATTGTCAGCTATAAGAACACTTGAGTTTACTTGATTCTTGGTTGAAATGTACATGTGAAACATGTGTTCATTTCAATTTTTGAGCAATACTTTATATTAAAGACTGCTACCAAAACTTTACTTTCTGAACACATCATTGTAGTGTCTAAGCGTTTTATATTGCCTCTAGGGATCTGATTAAATGTATTAATTATAATTATCATCTATAAAATTTTTATATGAATATATATTTTGACATAATTTTAGTGTTTGATCGGTTCATTTTATAGGAAGTCTTGGATTCCAGTCACTTTCTTCATATTCCTACCGTCTATCCTGCTTTGTCTTCCTTGCGCTAGTCTCCTCACCCTGCTTCTGCTTTCATCTTTAATTGACCCCATAGCTGGAACCGTGATTAAGGTAAGCAAAGAATTGTCAAGAATCTTGGCAGATTTTATTAAAACATAATTGACTATTACATATAACACAGGAATTATATTATTTTACTTGGCAAAGCATGAAAGATACGACTAGAATAAAATATTTTTCGTGTTGACATTCGTCATATACCAAATCGCAAGTAACATTGTTAGCATTACATAAATATTCTTAAGTGTACCGGTGCTCCAAATACATATCCCAGTTCTTTACGTTCCCTTTTTCATTCGATGTCGCAATTCTCTATTAAAAGAACGATACAGTAACGCACGATTCCTCGGAACAAAATTTGAAACTGTATGGAAACGCGGAACGAAAGTATAATTTCTGGGAGCACGTACACGTTGACTAGGTATTTTTCGTTAGGTGTAAGTAATTGCGGCGGATTCGGACCGTATCTCTTCTCTTTGTTTGATGCGCCACCAAACAAAATTCAATACAAATCTCATGCCTTACATAAACTATTTTATTTCGGCTTTTCTCTCACCACCTTCTCGATGTCGTATAATTAATATTTTGGTCGTAACATTCTCGTTCTCGGGCACCTATCGTACCCCGACCCCTTCGAATGAAATTCGAAGATCATTTTTTTTTTAGGAAACATCAACAGCGGCTTATGCTTCATTATTAATAAATTGCAGCGTTCATTTTCCCTTACGACAAATTTCGCTATTAACTCGTTAGTACTTCGTGCTGCTAGAGTTAGCATTACGATCCAATAGTGCACTTCGTTTCGCTATTAGACTATCGCGGAACGCAATCGTTCGCTGTCGCGTACAAAACGAATTCCGTTCGTTCGGCCCTCATCTTCGAAACCAACATTAATCGTTGAGAGGGCGGACGGCCACGTCCGTAATAATCTTTTACGTGCAAGCTCTCTTAGGTCTCGTCTAGACTAGATTTGCGGTTTCTCCGTCTGGTTACTTTTACACACTGCAAAAGCTGCTGGAAATACGTTGAAGTTTATAAACATTCTAATCTGTCTGATCCGCTGTGACTGTATTCGCGACGACTCTGTTAAGTGCACCGTTCTTAAATGAGTATGCGGATTATTACAATTTCGTATTCTCCGTTTCCGATTCGCCCTTAATGAAAGAAAATGTTGGTTCGTTTTCTTCGTCACGAAGATTAGGCGTTGCACCGCGGATCAGAACGAAGTCGTATCTCTATATAACATTACGCGATAATTCTCTTGAGTATCGTAAAAACGCGTCTCCTATTAAAAACATTGAAAAATAAATAACGCGAAATAATATGGTACAATATTTTACAATAGCGCTTAGGGTTACTCGTGATAGGGCGATCCTCGCAGGTCGATGATCGATGTTCTATTGACTTCCTTAGAAAAAAAGAAACGAAACCGTTAGTAGATTGGTCGCATTTCCGTTCGAGGCGAATCCTTGACATAGGATAATCTCGTTACGGGGCTGACGTTAAATCGATGACGCTCTATCCATAATTAACTATCATCGTCATTCATACAATAATTGTTCGGAATCATTGTTCCGCGGACCTGTATTGTGCGCGTGATGTAAAATCGATGCAATCCTGCCCCTCAGCCTTCGTAAAAACGCTATGCGTGCAACGTTATGCACATCTCTCATTCTCATTTCCTTTTATACACTTCTATTTAAGTTTATCTTGGACTAATTGCTATATTATCGATTTACGATCGTTCTTTATGCGTAAAATATCATAAAATACATTCCTCTTTTGTTCGCTATGATCAGGCTCGTCATTCCACTCCGGTGTCGACTACGTCTTTTCTCTACCTTTTTAACTAGAGTCTCATAAAGAGAAACTAAGAGTTGGTGAATACTTGACTAATCGTCGTTTAACGAACGGCGTTAAGAGAATTTCAGAGGAACGCGCGAAATCGGCCGGAATGACGTGCCATCGATGATTCACGATGACTTTCATACAAATCGTTCGATAGGTACGAGCGACGAAATGAATTCGTAACGAAAAAGCACGGCGGCACTAGTAAGCTTGCACGGACATTATACGCTACCACGATTCTTCTTCTCTTCTCAAAAGTCTCTGGTATTAATATAGCTAATATGGCAAAGTGTGCTTCCTCTTCTCTCGCGGAAGAACACTGTCGGAACACAGTTCGCTCTTCTCGTTCGACAACTACCTATACGTATTCCTTTATAGCTCTAAAATGTAAAAAGTAAGCGTGCGTGTGTTGCCCGATCGATAGAAGCGCGACTGTTCTTCCATTTCAAGTTTTTAAGAGACATCAAGCAACGACGTAAGAAAATATTAATATAATTCATTTAATAATTTAACACAATCTTTCGCTAGAGATTGTTTCTGACAATGTTAAATTTTTCGTGTTACATTTTTCGATATATAGTAAGCACTTGGAAGTGTCTTAAAACTTATGAACAGGAATGTACGTTACTTGCGTCCTTTCGTTGTTTCCAATCGAGGCCAATATTACGACTCGGCGACAGTGCAGCGAGAACGCAATTTCTCGCGTGCCGTAACAATTCTTACGGCGATGCTTGCAGCCAGTTTCCCGTTAATTAAAGTGCCGCCTGATTTCTTCGCCCTTGGTGTAATAACGCAACCCCGGCTTTGGCGCTGGAAAACTAGAGTCGCGAACGACTCTCGTTCTCGATCAATTTTCACCGGTTGGGTCCTCGACCTCTGCTTTCCCCTCGAAGAGCAGGCGACACGATCTCTCTCGTGTTCGACGCTTCGATCAATCGGTACTCGACGCACACAACCACAGACACACACGCTGCTCGAAAGGGGAATACAGGCAATATGTACTTTGTACAAGAGCGTCCTGGACGCGTCTGAACGCACGCTTCGACGAACTCAGTCGCTCGAAAAACCGAGGAGCGTCTTTTCACGGCAACTTTGCTCCAGATTCGGAACACCTGGCCCTCCTTCCTGATCTCCGAGGCAGCCTGCCTCTTATCAAACAGCGTTCCCTTCGAATTCGACTCGGGATGAGTTAGAGTTTGAAATTGTTCAATTCCACGTAGCGTAGGTTTGGGTAATAGCTGTCTCTGCCTCTAAGACGTTTGGTCGCAGCGTAAAAAGACTCGCTGATCCCGGAAATCCTATTACAAGATCCGGGGAGTCTTAGTTTCTAACAAAACCATAAAAGGAAATCGTCACGTCCACGTGGTGTTCGAACAATCTGCACATGCTTGCGGATGACGTTTATCCCGCCTATTTTTCTCTCTGCTCTCCCTCTTCTGGCACCATGTTTTTCGTTGGTGCAAATCTCTCGAGTGATGAAACGTTCGAACAAAAAATCGAGTTTTGAGGAGGAAGGTTTGAAATTATGAAAGCAACGATGTTGCTGCGTAACGAGCCTCGAGAGGGAAAATCAATAAACGTATTTCGTAGTTGCTCCGAGCTCTGTTTTAATTTTCAATACCCGCAAATGATCGACGAGTGGAATAACGATCTCGTGGGAAGAAATTAAAGTTGTTGTACACGCCGAGAGGAAAAAACGTATCCATGTAAATACAGTTTTCACTCGTGGGACTTAAATTCGATTTGTCCGCGATATTTTAGCCGTACGTGTCGAATGTTGGACATTTTCAATCGGAAGTCGCGCGAGGGGAAGCGAGAGAAAAAAAGACGTGAAAAATTTCTCATCGTTGTCGAATTCAACGAGCGACCCTTTTTCTTGTTTCGTACGGTGTTCCCATTCGATGGCGTCCCGTTGTTCTCCGGGCTTGCTTTTAGACGACATCGAACCATTCGACGATACTCTGCAACCAAGAAGAATTGATTAAAAAAGTAGATCCACTTGAACGGGTAGTATGTATTCGGGTCGCGAGTCGAGGGAACCTCGATATTCCATGCTGACAATTTAAAGGGCGGACAATGCAAACTCTTGGCTCAAAGAAATTAAGCTCCAAGCCAAATTAGCGGTTTCGCGTTGATCCTCCCGACTGTTTCTACACCGGGTCAATCAAATATTCAACAGTTAAAACGGAAACTACGAGGTACACTCCGGTGTTGATTCATTTATCCTACCAGGTGCTCCGGCAATTTCTCATTTCGAACGAAACAGAAGGCGTAGCTCCTCTGTTTTACCCGGAACTTTCTTCTCTTCCGCGGTGTTGCTTCCACGCGGTTGTTACTCTCTCCCTGACCTTTCCCCTTTGTGTCACGGATGAAGCATCGTTCAGAAGGATCCTTCGCAAACCCTCTTCCGTTCTTTCGTCTACCCTACCCTACCCTACCCTACTTGCTACCCTTATTTTGTTCTCGCGCGCAGACCACCTTTACCTCGACCCCTCGCTGAATATTCGCCAGAACGAAACGATCTCTGTCGCCGTTGACTTTCTCTTTTCACCTTCCGTTCTGACGAACGAGCAGCTTAAGGTGTTTAATAGAATCAAGCCAGTCAATGATAGTTTACCTTGTCTCCGTTTTAACGAGTATACCGAATGAGAATTTTGTTCGTTATACTGATTATATATACGGATTATACTTCGCATTGAAGCTCAATACGAATTATTCGAAGAAGGAAATCAAAAGTGTATTCATTTATTCCACCCGCGGTACCGTACGAATGTCAAACAAATTTTTCACACATATTGGATAAAAGGAAATATACATTATTTGAGGTATTAAAATTAGCCTCACCTGGTCCATTACGATCATTGAGAGAACTCGACTCCGCAATGTATCTGTCGTAGCTAGCTTCCGTGTATCGAAGTAGTTTCCGGCTTATTTGTGAAAGTATGCTCCTCGGTGCGAATCCGAACGGATTAATTGTCGAACTGTCGACGGTCCAGGATCCGGGATGCGCGTGGTGGATGACGTTGGTCGGTGAATTGCTTCATCTCCTGGGGCTCTCCTGTGGCAGCAAGTGGCCGTTGAGAATTATTCGCGGGCCCCACGAAAAAGCATCGGTACTGATTCCTCCCCTTCCGGACTTTCCAGCCTAATTAGTCCGGCTTTCTATTAAGTTTATCTGGGGTGATCAGGGTCGCCAAGTTCCCCCGGGGAGAGAACTCTGCTCGCACTTGTAGGAAGGAAAGTTCGGACGGGAAGATAACTCTGGACTAAGTAGCAAATGATTAAGGCGGAACGCCGTGGATCGTACGCTTCCACCGATCCACGGTTGCCGCTAAGTAATAATTAGATTTCTCGGAATGGCAACTGTTAAAGACTTTAACCTCGAGCTTATTCGATTCTCATTTTCGGATATATTTTATAATAGTAAAGCAGAATTCAGTGGGAATTGTATATTGCATTAATAACTGAATCTACGATCATCGAATAAAATGAACCGATGGTTTTATACGCAAAAAGTAAAATACTCGAGTTGCGAAGGTTTAATTCGGATTAGATTTCGATGGAGTGAATATAGTAGCAGAATCGCGTTAGCAGTCGTTACGGACAAGCGGAATCGGTAATAGATGTGGCCGACAAATCTGTTTTTGCCGGTTGGAGTGGGCCGATAATGGTCTTTGCTTCTAATTAGCACGGGCCATTAGGTTTATCTATGAACGTTGAAGTCGTTGAGTTTCGTTCTTGCTATTGGGTAGTCTGGTTCGCTGGCAACGAAACGATTTCACGGTTTACCAATAGTGTTCTCGCAATTATCGGGCTTCGCATTCGCGTATTAATACACGATTACCACTCGGTGGCGATTAAAAAATAATTGTCACCCGCATGGACGCACCGGGCAAATGAAAATGGGAAAATTTAATTTTTGTCCTGCTCGTGTCAAAGGTAATTTGTCCCCGTAATTGACTCAGGGTCATCAAAGAATGAACGAGTGAATACGCGCCTCTTTCTACCGTTCGATAAAATTTTCCGAGCGAACTTGGAATATGCTGCCATTCTGGCTCGTACATAACGAACATAATTTTGATCGTTGTTAATACCATGGAGCGTTATTCTTCCACGTTATTGGGTAGAAGTTCCGAGCTGAGGACTAACGAGCTTCCTCCGAGCACAGTTTCCCTAACACGCGATAGTCAGCACTTGTACCGTCTTCAGATTCGTAACTCGGAAGTGTCCTTATAGTTGGTCGGAGCCATCGGCTTTGAAACCGTGCTAAGTTAGCCGGGTTACCACACGTTGAATAGTTTGCCAAGTCCATTATGGCGGTGTTAAGGGCGCGTATCTTGCACACGTTGCAATACCACCGTGTAACGTGTATAAATCATAGTAGGTCCCTTCGATACGCAAAATGCTTAGCTTCGACTACGCTCATTCTCGATTACGCTTATGATGAATTTGTTTACTCTTCATTTTTTTTTATCACGAACCGAGCGTTTCAGACTTCGTTAGATTTTTAACAAATTAAATTATTCCGTTTGAGAGAGCAAGCAAAAGGAAACGTAAACATTCCGCGAGCTCATTTCCAGACGCGGCGAATTTAGCAGCGATTTCTTTGGACGATTGCTGCGACTCTCTTTTTCTCCCTCTTTCTTTCGCGTATGGAATCTGCGTTTCGGGACTTGACCTCCTCGTTCTTTCGCCCAGAGAGCTTTTCTCCTTCGGTGCAAAGGTTGCCGCGAGTTAGCAAAGAGTTCCAGCGCGGATATCGCGGAGTTCATATCCCAGGGCACTCTTTCCGCTGTGCTCCTATATTCCTTTTCTCCTTTTTCACCTGACGTTCCTTCTCGCAAAACAACCATTCCTTCGTAATCCCACGGCACGCCGCGTCGCCCTATCTAAGGACTCCAGAGAGAGGTGCACTAGATATTACGTCGGCTTCCGCGTTTACTAATCTATGAATTACTTCCACAGAAGAGCGTGCTAACGTTATCGAACAGGAAAAAAGTTCTCCTTTTATCGAATACTCGTTTTCGTTAATCATTTTTCATCAAAGGTACGAATCATGCGAGCGCGAACGACGAGAGAAATAAAATAGAATACTTCTGTATCGGGGCACGAATTCGACGTAATTCTTTTTCTGCAGAACACAGCTCGAAGTTGCAATTTTTTCCCGTTATTCGTGTACTGACTTTTATGAATAGAGTTCTGCAACTATTCACCGTTATTAATGTTTCTTGCGGTACTTTTGATGCAAATTCAAAGATTTGAAAGAAGAACGAAGTTATAAAAATTTGTGTCGGTTTTCACCAGACGCTCGACTCGATTTTTTAGAAAGTTTCAGAGCTACGTCAGTATCAGTACACGACACGTAATTGACGGTAAATATTGCTGAATTGACAAACTTACCTCTGAGAATTGACGGCGTGGCCAGGTGCTCGTTGCGGCCTGGAAACGAGGCAACTGGGAATAGATGTAGGAAGTAGGAAACGAAGCGGGAAACTGGAAAACGTTCTTGTCCTGTGAAAGATGAAATAGGAAGGCGGGGGTATGGTTTGCCGTCGCGAACGTTCGGCCGGGTCAGGGTATGGAAATATCGCGGGTAAAAGTGGAGAGCCCGTGGAGAGCGGAGAAGACGAGGACGCGTATGTAGGAACCTGAACGGGTATCGGGAGGGGATGTGGGTGAGGCTACAACAAAACAAAACACGATGAATGTCCCGATGTGCAAGCTGCAAGCACAACAATGTCACGAAGATGGATGGTTAGTCTTTGTCGCGTAGCGCTGCCACGAATTACCTGGATAGATGGGCTTCGATAACGTGTTTTCCGATAAATTTGCCGCGGCTACGTTTAATATTCCGCTTCCGCGACGGTTTTCCGCTCGCTTTATGACACGAGTCTATCCAGGTCATTCTTCTGGCGTTTCCATTAAAAAATTAACAACGTCTATATTTAAGCTCGCAAGCTAAGAATTCAGTGAATGGAACGGTATATCTATACGGTTAGCGAAGATCGTTAAGACTGTGGGACTGTTAATTTACCTTGACAGTGCCGCTAGATGCGCTAGAAGCGGGCGAGCGTCACGTCCTCGGCGAACGAAGAAAACTTATCCATATCTTCGGTGTTAGCACAACAGAAACGTTTCATTGATACCATTAATTTCAATGAATTCATTCACGACGGGCTATCTCAATTCTTTCGTTCGATATTCTTCAACCTTTCCCGGTTCGTTAGCACGGAACTCTTTTTATAGCTATTGTCTTTTTACAAATTTTATTCATATAACGGTAATAAGTAATATTTTGTGATAGAAGAATTTTCTGAGTATCAAGCGGTTTGCGGCAAAAGGGTAAACATTCGCGTAAGGAAATTCACGGTAGAAAGAATGAATCGAACGAAAGAATCGTGGAAGCCGAGTGACAATACGAGCAGTATAAACGCAAGTGCGCGGAAATTCATGTGGGAAAGAGAAGTTTGCGTGCGTTTTTTTTTAGAAAAGTGGGTCCGGCCTCGTACTACACCGGCGGTCGTCTTACGGGCTCTTCAGGGCTCTCGGTTGACCCTCGAGAAGAGCGAGCACGAGAGTCTAGCGAGCGCACGGGGTCCAGAAACGGTCATAGTTCTATTTCCGTCGCTCGTGAATCATTCTCGCTTCACCTATCTTCCTTAACGCCGGTATAACGCTGTTATATGGTCCCGTTGAAAGACGCCGCGTCTCTGATAAAGCTCCTATCGAGAATGATTACCTAGATAGAAACCGTTCCCAAAAAGATCCCCTCGCGACGACCGAGAAAAAGCGTTTCCGATTCTCCTATGATTTCCCGTTCAGTAGACCTAACGATGTTCCTGGCCAGTTCTCTAACTTTCTAGACTATATCCGCTCGGTCAGCTGACAATGCAACACGACGGAAATTTGACTGGAGTCGCCGGTAAATGGTCCATTTCTAGCGATAAATTCCTTGACGGTGAAGTTACCCTCGGGATTCGCTTTAACGACGCGTACGCTGTGCCGTTAAAATTCATCGGCTTCGAGCTCGCTAGCTGATCAACGCCATTTCCCCATGGCGTATTTCGTAGTCGCTGCTAATCGAAAAATAATCTCGAGCCACATCATCTACTAGCCTCGAAAATTAACAGCAGCTTAAGCCGTGGTCCAGTTCGTGGATTAAGCCGATTTCAATTAACCAAAAATTACACGCCACGATAGAGTACCGTATTCTATCGCGAGCAACGGATCCCGAAGATCGAGATCTCGGTTTGTGATACCGGATCGCCACGGTGCTCGATCGGCCAGCACCGCGTTATCCAAGTGCATAACGGGACGATAGCCTCCGTCTCGCCACGGTAATGCGTATCAGAGTACATTTCACGGTTGATCGAGACCCATCCCAGCGCCATAGACAATTTCCCAAAGGGTTCCAGACCGATATAATAGGGTGGCCAAGGTACATACCGTGGCCGCGTAACTCCATCGCATTACCGTTGACCCGAGAACAACCCTGGGTGGTCACGATGCACATTCGTTCTCTCTCGGGGTGAATTCGTCAATGGTTCATCGATGTTTGATCGAGACTTGCTTCCAGTGTCAATTCGTGTCAGTTTTCGGCATGTCGTCGTTTCGCCTTTCCCTTGCTCTCCTCTTTTCAATCTTTTCAAGTATTTTTCAATCCTTCATTGTATGAGCATTCTACAGCTATTTCATTTTTGTTTATTTTATTTCAAAAATATGCCACTTCTCTAAATATTTTTAGTTATTTCTCATATACATTGGAACAGAATAGGGAGAATTGTTTAATTGTGTGGTTATAGGAGGTCATATTGTTTACTTGACGCTATAGTTTATTGCAAAACGTGTCGACATGTCGACGTGACGAATCATGTCTCTTCGTCCGCGCACAGACGAAAGTAAGGGGTTGCATGACACACGCGGCTCGGCTGGATGTTTGTGGACCACCGAATGTCCAAACGAGTCGTTATAGTTTAATGTGTCGGGTGGCATCGTAATACGGATTCATTGTCGTCGGGAGCATCGCGTCGCGCGTCAGGGCGGTCGTTCGCCTTGTGTAAACAACGCGTACATACACGAGGTTTGAGACGAGAAATCCGGCAACCGCGTCTATGAACCCGTGGTTCCGTGAACGTGGCTCTCTCCTTATAACTGTACGCCATTCTCTCCCCGGGGACGTATGTCCTTATACTGGCGCCGTGAGCTTTAATGAAACCCATAAAGCGCTCTATGGATCGTGCTTGTGGTGGTACGCCCGGCTATACTATGTTTATGAAATGGAACACGTTACGAAGGTCGAAGCACGCCCCCGTGAGAGTGCGATTAATGATTGAAGCGACCTGAATACAAAGACGTAGGAAATCTGACCGTGAACCTTGCCACTTTCGGTTTAATCCTGGACACAGAATTCACAGTTATCAATATTCAGATACCTATTTTAATTTAAACCGCGTACATAATTTTTGTCAGCAATTGTTAACTGATAGTGTGTTTGAATGGTCGTTGGTACTAATTAAACGGGATTAGAGTACGCGGAAACGATTTGAAATGTCGTTCCTCGTCTCGATTCTTTGATTAGAAACAGTCTCGTTTTCCCTGCGGAACGGGGACACGCGTTCTGGCCTCGTTCACCATTGTACGCGTTGCGGATGACAGTTCCCCGAATTTCAAAAGCCGGAGAACGAATCGAAAACAACCCGGGAAAAACGTCGCGTTTAAGTCTTTCGATTTCCGCGAGCCTGTACAACACGTTTTTCCGATTCGACGAATATTCGTTTCACGACTGAGGTTGGATTTTGTAACGAATTTTCGTTGACCGGAAGGAGAACGAAACGGGTGTATCGATTGGGAAAGTACAAAAAGGGTACTAGCGGAATTATCACGAATTTTTCACAGATCGGAAGCACACTTCCTTTCACGAGTCTTAGGACACTTACAAGCATTTGTTGTCTATAAAAAAATTATTAATGGGAACGTTTTTGTAAATCTTTAAATACTCGTAATCGTATAACAAATTATAGAATGACTAACGAATATGAATTGTTTATCGAACTAAGGAATATAAACAATTCTTATCAGCCATCTTGAAATTCGATTCATATTATTCATTAAAACATCAAAAATTTTCGTTTGTTAATTCATATTCTTATTCTCAGAACTATTATGCATTTTTTAGGTGCTAAAATTGATGATCAGGTGTGGAGCCCTTTACACTTCGATCCCTTAAGAATGGGTTTAATTTAAATGATTACGTTTGATAATGACTTAATGCTCAGAGCGTGGCAATCAGGTTATCATTGTTTCATCGTTGTTTCAGCTGTCGATACGTGTTCCCTCTTCATACATTTTAATTTACTGACCTTCCATGGCGCGCCCGCACGCTTTAATTCATTCCTTTTGTTCCCGGACCAGATCCATCATCGTTCCCTTCACCGTTCTATATCTGTTCATTGTTGTAACCCCTTTGATGGTTTCACTAAAAGTGGAGTGCAACGGCAACAATTTGTTCCAATTCTCACAACCGGCACCATACAATGGTTACATTTTTTAATAAAAAGTCTGTAGGTACAGTATTTCATGAACGTGACATTCCGTTTAACGTTTTTACGCCATTCGCGCGGAGTTATTAGACATTTCCTAAATTAGCAATCTTTCCAATGACGTTAATTGCTTGTTATTTTATCCAGCGGGATTAGAATTTCGATTTCTTAATTTGAATCTCGTTTACGTTCATTACATTCGTTTACATAGCTTTTGAATATTTGAAGCGAGCGAGTGGTGCGAGCGGTCATAGGAAATCGAGGTCAAGCCTGTCGTTCCGAGTTCTCGCGATGAACCGATCGGGGGAACGGTGCGTATAAAACGGGAATCGACGTTACTGCTCGACAATAAATATAAAATACCTACTTTAGCGATCCCCCTCGAGCTTAAAGTCGCCGTTAGATCTCGTACGGAAGGTGTGCACCAAAATTTATTAGAACAATCGGCTGCACCGACATTCTGACCGCGTTTGTTTTGCGACTCGGAAGTGCATAGCATCTATCGTTTGAAAAATCGAGGATGTAGCCGTGGAATAAGTACCGAGTCGTAACTGCCAGATGGAGTAAACCTACACCGTTCGTAAGATTCGCATATTCGTATTTCCAAAGCTAGGGTGGAACGTAAAAGCTGAGACGATAGTATCGTAGTAAATATAAAACTTGCATTGAATACATATTCGAGGAAATCGTCGTCGTTAAGTCAGTACGGAAAAATGAAGCATTCGCGAGCCAAACTTTGAACGTTAAATTATGCTTTTGTTTTCTAATTCCGCAAGATAGACTCGAGGGGTATGTTTGATGTTTATCGTCGAGTAATAAGAAGGAGTAGACGAAGAATCGAGGCGCCGACGTCGTCAGAAATCGGTTGTTTACTTGCGGATGATGGTGTCTCGTCGTTGACGTACTTAGACGTATTAAAGTGCTCGAGCGAACGATCCGTAGCCTCGTAACGTCGGTCGTTCGATGGGTCGTCGAATGCTCGTCGCATAACCGACCGACTAGCCTGCAGCCGAATTTTCATGCGAGAACGTCGCTCGTAAAAGCCGGCGCCTCTCTCCCGTAATCCTGTGGCCACCCCCGTTCGCTCTGTTACCCCCTTGTGCTTTACGATCGTTTCACCTCCGCGCCGGAATGACATAATGCAAAGCGAACCAAGATTTACATCCCATTTACCTCGGTTCCCGCGATTGTCCAGGGTTCCAACGGTACTTCCTATTCGTATTTCGGATTTTCTGCTCCGGCCACCCGCGCCGCCGCCATCCCTTTGTTTTCTCGTCCGAGAATTATTTCGTTTCGGGGCTGGGGGTTGGCTCATCCCCCCTCGGTCGTGCGCGCAATTACCGGCCGCCCCTCTGGCGCGCGTGCTTCTTTTTTTGTTTTGCTCGCAGCGGCACGTCGCGCGGCTGCGATATTTTTTTCCACTACTTGTTGCTCCTTTTTTTCGCCGTTTTGCCCGCGTAATTGCGCTTTAACAGTCTCTCGCCGATGTTCCTGCTTCTCTTTTTTTGTTCATCGTCGCTGGCTCCGTTGTTTCACGCGCGCGTGTCGGACTCGCGTTCACCCTCGAGCG